GAGACTACGAATCTTTCCATGTGTGTGACTCACTCTCTTTTTTATTTTTTTGCTTTTTTTTTGGAGAGGTTTTTGCTATAGGGCACGTGCGATCGCCAGACAGACAGAGAGACATAGAGACAGAAAGTGAGAAATCACCCCCCAGGGGGGATGGTCACACCGCAATCCCTTCTCCTCCATTCTCCTCTTGGGATCTTAGGCACACACGCACACGCGCCCGGTGTGAGTTTTAAGCCACCGGGTCCGGGACGCGAACCTTGGTCGACTACGTGGGAGTCCAGCAACATAGCCATTACGCTAATTGCTGGTTCCCATGTGTGTGACTCACTCTCACTGTTGCAGTTTGCTATCCCTGAGGCAGGGCCAATCAAATGTAGCGACTGAGGATTTTTGACATTTTGCCTAATTCTGTTCCCTTTTAATATCACATTTTGTAGATTCAGAAATTCATTCTACAGAAAAGACAAACAGGAGCTTCTATTCATGGATTTACTTTTAGAAACTTTTTCAAATAGCCCATTCTCATTACTAAAGAACCCACTAAATTAGAACACCTGGTAATTTTGAGATTGGTCAAAATTTAGGCATATCTTCATGATAAAATAATTTGCTGGTGAATTAAATGAAAAAATGGTTGCTGAAAAATGTTCATGAAAACATTCCTTTCAAGAATATCTAGCATACTCCAATTTAAAAAATATTTATGAGTATGTGATGATTAGCCTCTCCATTTGATAGCTACAGGAGTGTGTGTGTGTGTGTGTGTGTGTAATATCTTTTTCAAAAGTTCCATACTTTAGATAATTAAGAATGCATATATGGGGCGGGGCAGCAGGTGGCATGATGGTTAAGGCACTGGACTTCACATGGCCAACTGCAGTTGAAGTCTAAGACCTGGTGAGTTGAAAACCAAACCAGCACATGTGTGTGCAGGCCCAAAATCCCTAAAGGAGAATGAAGGATAAAGGATTGTGGCATGGCCATTCTCCATGTGAGGGTGATTTCTCACTTTCCCTCTTGCTGTCTGTCTGTCTGTCTCTCTCCAGCAAGTGCACACAACCTATGGCAAAAACCTTAAAAAATAAAAAAGAATGCACATAGGATGGCCATGTGGTGGTGCAGTGGTAATGCAACTGGATCCACATGAAAAAGGTCTTGCGTTCACATCCTGGGACCTCCCTGAGCAGACCAGTTGCATGTCCACATTCCTGTGACCTGGGTTGGCTGACACTAGGGGTGGGTCATGGTGCAAAGACCCTGCTGAGGGTCTTTCTAGCTCTGAAGAAATAAATTTAAAAGCTTTAAAAAATGTTGGGACCAGCAGTTAGCATAATGGCTATGTCGCTGAACTCCCACATAGCCGACACAGTTCAAGCCCCGCACCTGGTGGCTTAAACTCACACCAGGTACGTGTGCGTGCGTACCCAAGATCCCGAGAGGAGAATGGAGGAGAAGGGATTGTGGTGTGGCCATCCCCCCGGGGGGTGATTTCTCGCTTTCTGTCTCTCGCTGTCTTTCTGGCGAGCGCACACGCCCTGTAGCAAAAAAAAAATAAAAAATAAAAAATAAAGCAACACAATGGAGAAGAGTCTTTTCAACAGATAGTGCTGGAACAAGTGCATATTCAGTTTAAAAAAAAAAACAACTTTAAAAAATGTATAAATGTTTTTCAAAATCAGGGAATTTGTTCTATTTGTCCTGATCAATAAGGTTTCACATATGTAACTACAGCTTCTAGATCATGTGATTATATCTTTAATACATTCTTAGATGTAGTCTTGTAAGGGTATTACTCAGATAATAATACGAATTAGCAGAAGACTACTAATTGTTTTCCACTATTTGCTCTGCCCTTTGTGATAGAATTTTAATGGGGTACATGGCTGTACAGTCAAAAATTCCATTTCTCTGACTCCTCTCTAGTTCATTGATGTGACCATGTGACTAAGTTCTGACCACTGGGATGTAAATAAAATGTCTCATCATTAAATGATGGAAGATGTGTGCTCTGAGTCTTTCCCTTTAAAGATGGCTGGAAAAAATAGCAACTGGAAGAATCATGTTAGATCCAGAAATAGCAGCCACATGCTGAGGATGGCAGAACTACCCTGCCAGCTCTAGGCTACTCACCTCTAGGCTGCCATGTGCAAGAAAATACAGTTATCTTGTCTCTTTATCACAATGGCTCAGCCTGCATCCCAACTAAGCCAATATAATAACCCCAAGTAATAAAATGAATGATAGAAATGAATATTATTTACTGATTTCTGATTACATGCCAGTTAATATTTTATATGGATTAGATCATCAATCATAACTCATTGAAATTAAATAGCTTCCCCAGGTCAAAAAACTAGGAATTGACAAAAAAAAAAAAAGGCATAGTAATCTTAAAGATTTTTTTAAAGGATGTGCTGTTAATAGTTCATGAAAAATATTAAGTGTGCCTTCTTCAGTTAGATGACTATACAGATATATCAGAGAAAACACATTTTCTGAATTATTCTTAGTAATGGTGTGTCAAGGAAATTATAAACAAAATCATTCATTTGTGTAGCAATAAGAATAGATTTTTAATTATATCTGTAAATTTACATCTGAAAATTCCCTTCTAATTTTCTTTTGTAAAGAAATTCTAGGGGCCAGAAGGTGGCATAGTGGTTAAGGTACTGCACTCACACATGGCCAACCACAGTTTCTTAGGCTGGAGAAACACTGAAGGACTGGAGGGCTTCAGGGCAGCTAATTTTCAATCTCAATCTGTCAATAAGGAGAGTCATCTTAACTGCTAACCTAAATCTGCAAATTGTCATTGCGATTGAATAAAAGTTCCCCTGTCAGTCAATTTAAATAGTATTTAAATGAAAATTAACCAAACAGATTTGCTAGAGCTTCTACAAACTCCATTACTTTCATAGAGGCTCACTTATTATCCTACGCGTTTTCATACTCTAACATATTTTCCTATAATGAATCATTGCAGATCTCAAGCATCAGCTTATAATAGCTTTGAGGCTCTTTACACACCAATAATTAAGATTTTGGTCAGCAAAATCTTTTTCTTTCTTTTTCTTTTTCTTTTTTTTTTATTTTTGAGACAGATTTTTTTTTTCTCTAGAGTGCATGCACTCGCCAGTGAGAAATCACCCCCCAGGGGGTGGCCACACTGCAATCTCTTCTCCTCCATTCTCCTCTCAGGGTTTTGGGCACGCATGCACATGCACCCCTCATAAGTTTCAAGCCGCTGGATCCAGGACTCAAACGGGGTTGCCTGTGTGGCAGTCCAGCCCCTTAACCACTCAGCCACTTGCTGGCACCGAGTTAGCAAAAGCTAGGAGAAGAGAAACTATTTACTTTGTCTACTCTTGGTAGTAGCCTATACAGTGCCTGGGAAATATTACATTGTCAATAAGTGTTAACTAAAATTAAATCTCCTCATTGCTATTCACTAGAAATGCTTTTCCTTTCCAAATATACTCTCTTTTTCTTTCTTTTTCTTTTTTATTTTTTTGGAGAGGTTTTTGCTATAGGGCGCGTGCGCTCGCCAGACAGACAGAGACATAGAGACAGAAAGCAAGAAATCACCCCCCAGGGGGGATGGCCACGCCGCAATCCCTTCTCCTCCATTCTCCTCTCGGGATCTTGGGCATGCACACACACGCGCCCAGCGTGAGTTTAAGCCACCGGGTCCAGGACTTGAACCGCAGTTGACTAGGTGGGAGTCCAGCGACATAGCCATTACGCTACCTGCTGGTCCCTCCAAATATACTCTTTATCTCACAAATACTTAGGCTGATTCAACACACTCTTAGTTTAAAACATGCAACTGTCTTCTAAAGAGATTCTGGTATAATTTTTTTAATTACATACATGCTTACTAAGTTTCTTCATGACACTTTATGCACATTCTGGTTTCTCCCAGGGAAGGATAAATTTATACATAAATATACATATGATATATATTGAGATATTACATAAGAAACCACTTTTATACTACTTCACCTCATTGACCCATTACATTTTTGGAAAATAAAAGGTCTCACTGCATCACTAGGAAACCCTGAGGGTAGGTACTTTCCTTGTTTACATTCCTTTATAGAAATGGAAGTAGTGAGGCCCTAAAGAAATGGTGACAATTTTTAATAACTCTTGTAGAACCTAAACATGTAGAACCTAAACATGTCTGTGCTCTTACTCACAGAAAATAATGTTTTTAAGATGTTCACAGCAATATTAGCACATTGCTATTGTTTTCAAAATTCATTCTAGAGTGACCTCATAGCCAGTTTATATATCATAAGGAAAATCATCCTTTATAATGTCTCCGTTTCTAGCACCAGTACTTTTATTTCTGTTATCAATGACCCACTCTTGTCTCTGGACTTAGCTGTAAACATTTTTCAAATCATTCTAAAAATAAAATCTACTCTCAAAACATAAAGATATGTTCCCACTGAGGATATACAAAAGAATTCATCACCGAACTTGAAGTTATCACTATATGACAGATTTTAAAATATATTTGGAAGAACGGAAACATTGTGGCACTAAATATATAATTCCCTGGGTTGAATTTAGGACAAGAATACTTATCACATGGGCTCACCTAAGTGAGAGCTGTGTATAAGCTATATAGCTAATTAAATGTTAGGAACGAATTTCTTGTCCACAATAACGCGTAGTAAAGGTCTTTCTTGTTCAGAATTTCATGACCAGATCCACATGAGAAGTCCGATTTCATTTTTTTAAATAATTATTCAATATTACTATTATTATTTTTAATTTGGCCAGAGAGAGACAGAGAAGAGAAAATGAGAAAGCAAGTTGCCAGGTCCAGGACTCACACAGCAGTCGGTCATGTGGGAGTCCAGTGCCTCAACCACCATGCCACCTGCTACCCCCCATTTCATTTTTAATATAGAAATACAACTTCTCAAAAGATGGAAGTCCAGTCAAATTAAAGAAAATATAATCAAGTTTCCTTGGTGCATTTTACTCACATCAACAAGCTGGTTGACTCCACTAGCTGTTTTGGCCAGAGTGACAAGGTCTTCTTGCATCTTATCCACCCATGACTTGATACTGCAGAAAGCAGAAAAAAGAATATCCTATCAGGTCTCTGGCAAATTAAGACAACATATTGACATTTTGTACCCATGCCTCACACAATTCATTAAATCACCTTTAAATCTTTCTTTCCCTCCTAGCCCCTACCATGAGGTATTCCATTTTCCAAGTGCAAAAACATTGTATCTTTGGCATACGACCTTTTATGATGCTGAAACACCCCCAAATCTAAAAAGGAAAAATGACATCGAAGTCTTATCAAATACAAAGGTGAACACCTAATTATTTTTTCATTAAAATTGCATTAAAAATAGCTACTATGTAAAATATTTTAATCTATAAACTTGTTTTTTAGCTTAGAAGTCTTCTGAATATAATAAGAACAGTATGCTAAATGCAGACTATTTATAAAATGTAAGAATTCCACAATCCAGGTGGAATATTTAATATTGTATGTATTCTCTTTTAGACTTTTAAAATACTTTCACATGATTCCAAATAAATTATATAAAATTTACATATCTTTTTCCTGTGTATATTTTCTCATGCTATTACAATTACTTTGTAAACATTTTATTATTAATAATCACTTAATATTCCATTATTTCTGCATTCCATAATATATCTTACCATCCACCTTTTTTTAAAGATATTTAAGATGTCATCCACTGTTAACTACTACAAATTACAGTGCAAGAAATATCTTAGTGCATGAAGCCTGAAAGTATTTTATTTATTTAGCTAGATTTTGAGGTTTGAAATACTGAATCAAAGCTAAAATTTTAAAGCAATGTTTTTTTGGGTTTTTTTTTGGAGAGATTTTCACTGTAGGGCGCGTGCGCTCGCCAGACAGACAGAGAGAGACATAGAGACTGAAAGCGAGAAATCACCCCCCAGGGGGGATGGTCACGCCGCAATCCCCTCTCCTCCATTCTCCTCTCGGGATCTTGGGCACGCACGCACACGCGCCCAGCGTGAGTTTTAAGCCACCGGGTCTGGGACACGAACCGCGGTCGACTACGTGGGAGTCCAGCGACATAGCCATTACGCTAACTGCTGGTTCCCAAAGCAATGGTTTTGACCATTAAAAATATAATTGAAAGGGGCCATCAGGTACCATGATAGTTAAGGTGTTAGATTCCCACATGGCTGACCACTGTTCAAGTCCCAAACCTGGTGGCTTGAAAATCACATTGAGCGCATGTGCATACATGCCCAAAATTCCAGGAGAATGGAGAAGGGTTTGCAGTTTGGCCATCCCCTCGTGGAAGTGGAGAGGGGGTGATTTCTCACTTTTCCTCTCTTTGTCTCTTTCCTGTGAGCACCTGCCCTATGGTAAATAAATAAATAAATAAATAAATAAATATTTTTTTAATTTAAAAACTACAAAAATAAATAAATAAAAATAAAATTTAAAGACTTGAGTTCACGTCTTTTTTGGGCTCTACTTTAAATTCATGCAATGGACATCTTAAAATGTGAGCTATGTCAGGAAAATTTGATAAAACCTAAATCTTGGCTCTATCTTACTTTCTCCTGGTATTAGAAATGCTACCAAATATCACATGATTTTTCCAATTCAAATCAGTATCACTTAATTCGCAATTACTCCCTGTATTTTGTGTATTCACCCTCATGTTATAGACCTAAACTTTGAATTGTTTTCTACCCAGGGAAACAAAACAACAACAACAAAAAGTAGTAAGCTAGGAAGAATGAAGGAGATTATTTATATTTCTATTTTTTTAAGTTTCTTTATTTCTTTCAAATGAGAGAGAGAAAGACAGAGTGAGAGAGAGAGAGAGACCCTCAACCAGGCCCATACCCCAGCCTTCCAGGCAGCCAGGATCACAGCATGCCTAGCAACAACCTGGATCCAAACAAGGGATTTCTTCCATGGCTCCAGTTTAGTGCATTGGCACCTACACCACCATAACTCGGCCTATATTTGAATTTGAACTTTTTCCTATATAAAAATTATTCAAATAATGAAAACTGAACTGCATGTCCACTTTTCCTTACAGAAGAATTCCTATCTATCAAAGTCACCAAATTTTGTCAGATAAATTTAAATATAATTAAAAACGTTTTTTGTGGAATAAAAGCATAACATGAAAAAGGGATGTAAATAAGATATAAATAAAGTATTTTTTAAATGAGCTGATAAACTGAAGAGAAAGGTAAAAATTGAAAGTCAGGCTTCATAAGAGATGACATGATTTAGAGAAAAATACAGAAGCTTGATTTAAATGTAAGTCAAACTAGTAAATAAAATACACTACATGAATTATAGTTTAGCAGAGTTAAAAATTAGAAAAAATATTTACTGAACCATGTTGTATAAGCAAGACATAAAAAAGTAAGAGAATATCAAAACAAAAAGGGGGGTGTAGGGTATAGAAAGAGTCATAAAATCATTAAAACGAATGAGATGCTCATATATATACTTATTGACATTGACAAATAGTTGGAAGTATATATATATATATACAGAGAGAGAGAGAGAGAGAAAAAAAACTGAGAGACAAAAAAGATATGTAAAGAAATGAATTTAACTCATGCCTGAATTCTGACTTATGCTAACTAATCCAAAATATGCATTCTAACTTGACACCTGGGTACACTGTCACCACCAGCATTCACAGAGGTGAACCTCTCTTGGTTGAAAAACAGTTCAGGACCAGTGTTCTAGGCCCCTGTGACAAGCTGTCAAGAATACTCTATAGGAGCAAGGATTATTTTTCACAGATATAAGATGTTACCTGGTTTTCCTAAAACACATAGGCACTCCAGCTTTCAACATCTAATTAAAAGTTTGTATGATTAGGAAATCAACAAATATTCATTCATCATAAAGGTAAAAAATTACACAAGGAAAAACAGTCATATGTGCAAATTCTTTATCAATGGTTTTCTTCCTTGCTAAACTGCGAAGTACATGTGTATAATCACTAAGCACTATTTTACTAAATGTACCTGGAGGGTACCATAAAATTTGGGAGAAATAACAAAAAACATAGCTTTTTCATGTAATAAACTAACAAAGTCCTTTATTGGAAAGATTCTTTCACTTGCTCTTTGATAATCCATTCAATAAATACAACATTAGTATCTACTGGAGAAGATTCTACAAGATGGAGATACATGTTTGTGTTAAAACTGAGTTTGGCAGGGAGAGATGCAGGGGAGAATGAGAATATACTGGAATATATTTTGAAACCAGGAGAAAGTCTCTTAATTGGTGAAGGTACAGGGAGGCTGATAAGGCAGCTTTCTGTAGTAGTAGCTACTTGAAGCTATTGTTTTTTTTTGTTTTTTTTTTTTGAGAGGTTTTCGCTATAGAGCGCATATGCTTGCCAGACAGACATACTCTGAGTCCTCTGCCCATTCTTTAAATGTTATTTTCCAGAATCCTAATGTTTATTTCTTTCTTCCCTTTATACACTCTTCTTTGAGAGTCATAAATTGATTTACCTGTTCTTTATATTCAGTGTAACTGTCAAGTCTTTAAATTCTATGGAGACATGTCTTCTGAGTGTTCAAAACACATGTATATTCTTTTGCCTACTATATATCGACATTCTTTTCTCTTGTAACTCTGAGTCAATAAAAAAAAACTCATCAATGTCTATCTAAATGTTCTTCCTCTTGTACTTTTTTTTTTATTTTTAAAATTAATTAAAAAGTTGGAAACCAGCAGTTAGCGTAATGGCTATGTCACTGGACTCCCATGTAGTCGACCGCAGTTCGCGTCCCGGACCCAGTGGCTTAAATCTCACGCCGGGCGCGTGTGCGTGCGTGCCCAAGATCCCGAGAGGAGAATGGAGGAGAAGGGATTTCAGCGTGACCATCCCCCCTGGGGGGTGATTTCTCGCTTTCTGTCTCTATGTCTCTCTCTGTCTGTCTGGCGAGCGCACGCGCCCTACAGTGAAAATCTCTCCAAAAAAAAAGAAGAAACTTCTAAACAAGAAATGGAAAATTATTTGTTGACAATAACACATATGTTGATGTGCTTGACTGAGCCAATATACAGTGTATTCTGAATGGAAAATCTCATTTTGTATGTTGTAATGATGTACAGTGAATGAATGTAAATAAATACATTTAAATTTTAAAAAAGAAACTTCTGAGTCATCAAACAAGGTGAGAGAAATTTATCCACCTTATCTGCGAAGAAAATGAGAGAAATAGTGTGGAAACTGGAAAGAAATGGTGAGAAGGAGTTGGTACTCCTTTTGTTTTTTAATAGGAGGAGAGACAGGATTTTTTGTGAAAGAAAAGTCAAAAAGGCAGTGAGACACCAAATATTCAGGAGAAAGTATACAGTTTAGTGACAGGGATAGGGTGCAGAAAATGATACCCCAAAATAGGTCACCTTGGTATTTGAGAAAATCAGAAGTTAAAAGTTCTTACTACATCCCTATGTTCTCCCCTGAAGAAGGCCATAAAACTTAGAAAAGCCACACTCTGACCTTCTCCCTCCCTTCTCTCCTAAAGATCCTCATATGACAGGAGTCCTGCTTGATATCCAATGGGAAAAAATGGTCACATAGGGACATCAAGAAGAATCTGCTCAAACAGGTCTTGTTAAATTGCCCCTAGTATATCACTTTTAGATGACACATTTTTGTCCTTCAATCATACTCATAACTGTCCACAAATCTACACAGGGTTTTTTGCCCAATTTGCCAGAGAGCACACATGCTCACTAAAGACAGAGAGACAGACAGAGACAGAGAGAAGGAAAAAGCACCTCCCAAAGGAGTAGTAGTAGTCATACCTCAATCCTTTCTCCTCCATCTCTCCATCCTGTCAGAATTAGGGGAATGTGTGCACATGCTCCCACCCCGTTTTTCAAACAGCCAAGACTGGAATTAGAATTACATGATCATGTTTGGGGATGATGAATCCAGCTCCCCAAACCATGATGTTGGCCTCCTATACAGTTTTCCTTGCATCATGAGGTCTTCATTTTCTGATGTGTCATGAAGAAGCTACATTAAATTAACATATAT